TTACCCGATTTCAAGACGTGGTCCAGGGGAGACTTTTTAGGGCGATTTTCCAATTTCTTGCTTTAGCTTTGATTTCATTAGCTAGATTAGTTTCTTGTAGTTATATTTATGATATGTAACTGATTTGGCTAGATTTGGGCCACTCGGAGTCGGATATTCGTGGAAAGAGCATTGTTACGAATTGATTTGAGCTTGGTTCGAGGTAAGTGACTTGCCTAACCTTGTGTGGGGGAACTCCCCTTAGGATTTGGTACTGTTTTGATATGTGAGCGCCGTGTACATGAGCCGACGAGTGCGTACACGGGCTATTTGTTGTAAAATCTATTTTTTACTGAGTAATAACCTGTTTCTTCTTATTTGTGTTATATCAGCATGTGTAATTATCCTGTTAGCTTCGAATAGCATGTTTACGTGTCCTAAATGCCTATGTGAACTCTATGCAACATGCTTAGTGGATTTTCCTGCTTTTCTCTTGACTTGTACTTAGCCTAAACTGTAGGATCTCTGCTGTAACTGTTATTTTCCATTATTTGAGCTGCATATTTACTTTGCCACTAAGGAACGATATTCCGGGAGATCCCCTGCATATTTACTTTGGGACTATGAGACGATATCCCAGGAGATCCTCCTGCATATTTACTTTGGGACTATGGGACGGTATCCCAGGTGATCCCCCCTGCATATTTTCTTTGGGACTACGGAACGGTATTCCGGGAGATCCCCCTGCACATTTACGTTTGGGACTACGATACGATACCCTGGGAGATCACCTGTTGCTATTTTGTGTACTGTACTACCTTGCTGTGATTTCTTTCTGGTTAAATTTCAGTCTTTATTTTACTGTGATATTTTTGTTCCGTCTTATTTTATATATATATATATATACTAGTACGGCCCTGACCTGACATCGTCACTACTCGACCGAGGTTAGGCTTGGCACTTACTGGGTACCGTTGTGGTGTACTCATGCCTCTTCTGCACATGTTTTTCATGTGCAGATCCAGGTACCTCCTACCAGCCTCGAGTTTAGTTGCACGGTTGCTGCTGTTCAGGAGACTTCAAGGTACATCTCCCCGCATCCGCAGACCTCGGAGTCCCCCTTCATCCCCTTATGTCGATTCTTCCCTTATTTCTTTAGACACTGATGTATAGAACAACTAAAAATTCTTAGAAGCTTGTGACTTACGGTGTTCCAGGTTTTGGGAGAGTTTGTATACATTCCGAGAGTTTGATTATTGTATATGTCGAGCGGCATTTCAGATATTTATTTTAATTATTTGTTACTGTTAGTTGTTAACTTTTATGTTTTTTTTTCATTTCATTTACGCAAATGTTAGGCTTACCTAGTCGTAGAGACTAGGTGCCGTTACAATAGTTCACGGAGGAAGAATTTGGGTCGTGACAATTTTGCGGGGCCATAAAAAAATGACCTAATGAACAATAGTCGTGGCTTTGGCATGCCGTTCCTCATTTTTTGACATTTTATGGCCAAAAAACTAAAATTCGAATTGATTTTCAAATTTTCGTATGTTATAGTCCACGCCATCTGCATGAATCCCGGCTACCGGATCCGAATCACCCAAAATTATACGGGGCCATAAAAAATGACCTAATGAACTATAGTTATGGCTTCGGCATGATCGTTCCTCGTTTTTTTTGTATTTTAGGGTCGATTTTCTATTTTTCGTGTGCTATAGTCCACGCCATCTGAATGAATTGGTGCTACCGGATCCGAATCGGTGCGGCCATAAGAAATGACATGATGAACTATGATCATGGCTTCAACATGACCATTCCTCGTTTTTTGGCATTTATAGCCAAAAAATTTAAATTCGGGTCGATTTCTAAATTTTCGTGTGTTGTATCCACGCCATCTGCAAGAACTGGGCTACTAGATCTGAATCGCCTAAAATTGCGGGGTTATAAGAAATGATCTAATGAACGACCGTCATGGTTTCGGCATAACCGATCCTTGTTCTTTTGCATTTTAGGGCAAAAAAATTGGAATTCGAGCCGATTTCTAAATTTTTGTGTGCTATGAGTATTGGTCACTATGCTGTTTTATAGTGGACCTACTAAATTTCAGGCCAATCGGAGTCCGTCAATTTTTTTACAGAATCAGTGTACTAATATACACGAAAAAGTGAATAAAATAAAGAATTTGTGTTGCATGACCCTAATATGCCATAACATGAACCCGAAAGTCAAGGCAAGCATTAAGTTGGTACTAGACTATTTCTTATGGGCCTACAAAATTTCAGGCCAATCGGAGTCGATCAAAAAAAATTCTACATAACCAGCATATATTAATACACACGAAAAAGTGAATATAATTACAAGGTTACGGTGGCTTGTGGTTGATTCGGAAAAATTAAATAGGACCTATAATAAACAAGACCAGTGTTTTTTTTTTTTAAATCCCACACAATTTAGGAGGATTTATAGTGTTTCCACACTTCCCCTCCACGTAACTCGAACCAAGGACCTAACGGTCGCAGATGAAGGTGCTTTACCAACTGAACAAGCCTCACTTGTCACACAAGACCAGTATTAATTTGATTCTTCAACTCTTATTTACAGTTCAATTCCACATCATAAAGAAAGTATAGGTTATCAGAAGTTTCTAGATTTGGCTTTATATATTACTTAAGTACTATGTTTATTTTATTACTCTATAGGTAAAATTTTCATTGATAATTAATTTTTAAATATTAAGATTTCCTACATAGTAGTTCATAAAAGGTAATTATTTAATATGCAATATCTTATTTGATTTTAATGTCTTAAATATTAGAATAATTAAATTACTATTTGCCTAATGTAAATTTATTTTTAAAGGGAAAAAAGACGAACGATATTTCGCTGAGGCCTTCATGTTTTTAATATAATATATAATTGTAAAACTTGTTAGAGTAATAAAATGGTAGGAGCACTAATTAATGCATATAATAAATTATCATTGTTAGTAAACTAGTAATAATTAAATTCAAGACATAATTGGACATTGCTTGTCCTTCGAAGGATTAAAAAAATACATATAATTTGTAATTGCATTAACTTCATTTATAAAGTACAAACATGTTATTTGGTCGTATCTTTCTTAATATTTCTTTATTCTTTGTGCGTACTTGTAATTGCTTTTTTTTATTAATATCACTAAGGTAGTGTCACTCGTAAAATAAAGGCTAGCCCGGTGTATTAAACTCCTGTTATACGTGGGGACCAGGGAAGGGTTAGATCACAAGGGTTTATTGTACAGTCTTACCCTACATTTCTGCAAGAGGTTGTCTCCACGGCTCGAACCGGTGAACTATTAGGTGATAAATCTTATTAGTATCTACTTTGGCGATCCTGCATGAATTACATTATTGCTCTATTTACATCTACTAAGCCCCATACAGATGTGCGCCTTATTTGCTCTGAGTCATATTGGTGAAGTGCTGTTCTCTGCAGTTTCGTAGGAAAATAGGATCAACAGTTTCTTAAAGGTGAAAAACATAAATGGCCTCTTCAAGTTGTCCACAACGGTCATTTGAACACCTCAACATATCTATTTATCAAGTAGACACTTCAAGTGTCTGTTAAGTAAATCGAATAGACACCCCGGTACAACATACCAGATGCGTGAGTTACACTTGCCAAATGAGCCAATCAATGAACGACACGTGTAATTTGTAATTAAAACTTAACACAAATTAACCAAAAAAAATAAAATAAATTTAAAATAAAAAAACCCTTCCCAGCGTCTCTTTCTACCCCCCCCCCCACCCCCACCCCCCACCTCCAACTTCATCTTCCTCAAACTCATCTTCTATATTTATAAAAGTTGTAGAAATTCGAATGACCCATTTATCAAAATTTCCGGGAAATTCGAAGGGGTATTGCTATTTGAGCCACTAACTTTAGAGCTAGAAAAACAGCTGCCCATATTGGTGAAAATGATGAAAAAATGCAAACTTTTACCTTTTTCAAATCATAACACAATTGAACATAGATCAATATACATATAATTTCAAGAAAAGAGAAGGTCAAGAAAAATGTTTATATATTAAGGTTGGGTTGGAGAATGTGAAAACAATAATGGAGATTTAAGAGACCAAAGGAAAGGTTGAAGTAGATAGGAGGAAGAAGGGAAGAAAGAGAGGGTGGTGATGGTGGTGGTCAAAGAGACTTCTTGGAAGAGAGAGAAAGAGAGCGAGAAGGGGGAAAGGGTTCTCCCCCTCATTTTTCCAGTCACCTGGCAAGGGAAGCAATCTTGCCGACAGACATATTGAAGCAATGCTCCCATATTTTGCTAATTTTCTTGCTCGATCAATCGTTCATTTGGCAATTATTTCTTCATTAACTTTAAATTTGTTGAATTTGATGTGATGATATATTTGGTAATTTTGTTCTTTTGTAACGGAGGCAAAGGTGATTTAGGGTTAGAGGAGGGTGTTGAATGGTGAAGGAGAGAATCGGAGGAGAAGGGGGTATGAAAATTAAGTGGGGTCCACATTATTTTAGTAAAAGAAAAAACCTAATTTTAGGTTGGCAACTCGCGTCCAAGAGAGTGGATTTCACGCAATGGGGGCTGACATGGTCGGGTGTTTAGTTGATCCTCTATTGTGAATAAATAAAGGGTCTAATTGAAAATAGGCTCACTTGAGGTGTTCAGCTGGTCGTTGAGGACAACTTGAAGGGGTTGTTTATGTATTTCGCCTTTCTTAAATAAAGAACATGGAAGAGGATCATCAGTGGATCTTGAGATTTCACCACTAAAAGGCCAGCCTGATGCACTAAACTTCCGCTATGTGGGGGGTCCAGGAAGGGCCAGACCACAAGAGTCAATTGTACGCAGCCTTACCCTGTATTTATGCAAGAGTCTGCTTCCACGGCTTGAACCCATGACCTCCTGGTCACAAGACAACAATTTTACCAGTTACGCCAAGGTTCCCAATATGAAATTTCACCACTGAGTCGGATTTAGATAATGTGTGTTTTAAATAATAAACAGCGTGTTTAACTTATATACATTGATAGTGTATTAATGATTTAACACGAAATTCAACATGAATAAAGTACCAATATAACTTAAGAGTGCTGCAACTGTAATAGATAAGCCCATTTCTCTCCAATGTGGAGAGCACAATAATACAACTACTAATTGGTATACAACTTTCTACTAATTAGTAAATCAACAATGATCAACAAGTTCACGTCCCTTGGTCTCAACTGGAAAGAGCAGAACACTAATTGCTGATAAAATTAAAACCACTTCAAATAAAATGATTGCAGCCATTTGATGGCAACCTCTAACCAATTGCACTGCAACTAAAGGAGAGACCATCCCTGCAATTCTCCCCACAGAACTCGCAACTCCATAACCAGTCGTTCTCACTGAGGTTGGATAAATCTGTAGAAAAGAGATCAAAATAAGTGTTCATGTCAAGAAATGGAATGAGTCAGACGATGAATTACGCTAAGAATGAATGAAGAAAGGAGTGGATCAAGATGGAAAAGAGTGACACTCACCTCTGGACAGTAGACACCAGCAAGGGTGAAGGTTCCTATGACCCAAATACGAGCTCCGAATAGCAATACTGTACTTAGAACCTCATTCTGAGGTACAACAAGCGGAAAAAGGAATAGGAAGCCTAAGACATACATCAGTGCCATTGAAAGTTTTCGACCAACTTTCTCCACCACTAAGAATGAAAAAAGAAGCCCAGGAAGTTCTGAAAGACAAAGGGTAACTTAGATTTACAAATTGTATTCAAGTCAATGTGAACTGAGAGGAAATAACTGAATTGCAATTTTACACAAAAAATGAAAACAGAAGTACCAGCAAGGCTAGTGATGAACACATCTCTATAGAGGCCCGTGTGCTTTTTCGCGTTCAAAGCAACTGAGAAGCATTTATTTTCCCCAGCGCTTAACTGTGATGTCAGCAATATAATGCCATAATAGGAAAATGAATTCCCGAAATAAACCACCCACGTGAGGAGGGTAATTCGTCGTAGCCTTGGGGATAAAAGCATTAGAAATGATGACAATCCTGTTTTAAAATTGGAGGTTTTGTTTTTTCCAGGGGAAAGCAATTCCTCATTCAGCTCATGAGTCACTTGATCAGTAACAAGAATTCCAGGGGGAAGTTTTGTCTTATTGACAATAGCTATTTTCCTCAAGATATCATGTGCATCGCTTATTCTACCTTTGGCACATAGATATCTAGGAGACTCTACTGTAAAAGTGTACAAGAAAAGTGCTGCAAATGATGGAATAGATGATAAAGCCAGTAACCACCTCCAACCTAGGCTTGGCATGATAGTCTGCAAGAAAGACCAAGCAAAGTAGCAATAAGTTTTCCAACATTTACACGAGCATAAACAGTATGAGATGCATACTCTACTTTGTTTTCATTTTTTCTCATTTATCACTAACTGTTTGGAAGCTCTATAGCTCTGTCAACAATAAAAAACCACAGCAAATTGTGGGAGAAAGTGATCAACCACAACTTATCAGGTCGATGACCTGATGTCCTCATACAGTCATCTATGTTTTGGTCGAGCTCCTCGAGCTAGGGCAGTCAGACCAAATTTAGGAGAAATCTTATAGGTTTGTGAGCGAAACTTTTCTCCTCAATCGCCCCCCGACCCTTTATTTGAATTAGTTTTTGTTGGCGAAGATTTAAGACCTGGTTTTTTTGGGGAGGAGAGCATTGTGCTGATAAGTGCCGACACTTAATTGGGTGAAAATAGGTGCTTATTTATTTTGAGACAAAGGCACAATTATACTCGAAACTCTTAGAGAACTGGAAATAGAGATAGAGTAGAAAACTGTTATAAGAGAATATTCGCAAGAAATCAAAACTGAAAGAATTGTGTTTGTTCCGTGTGTATACATATATATACACACCACTTTCCAGATCATGCTTACCCTTCAAATGAATGCAAACAGAGATGGACATGTTTTTAATTTATAAAGAAAAAGAATTTGGCATACAAATATTAAAAATTATAAATTGGAAAAAAAAAATACTCTTTTCTTGTTAACTATAAGCAAAAAGCGGATCTTATTCACTTATATACGTGTTCCTTCACGTATTTGAGAATCGTTACTCAGACATCCCTTATCCTAAAGACACCAACAATTACACATACAACACCTTCCACATTTAGATGATAGACTTCTAGTCATCCTTTAAAATTTGCATGTGGACCTCAGGGAAGCTAATTTCAAGAAAGTAAAAAAGATGGATAGTTAGACCAGCTAATCCATTCTAACTTAAGTTCATCTGAGTTGGCACGAATTAACAACGGGAACCAGGTGAGTGTAGATAAAATGCTAATCTTGTGAAAAGTCCTGAGAAGAGAAGGATTTCTTTAGATAAGTAGTGCATATCACAAGCAAATTAAGGATGTACCATTGCCAATAAAGCCTCAAGTATTGTTCCAATTGTCCAAAAAGTTGAATAGATAACCATCCATGTGCCCCTGTTTCTAGAAGGCACAAATTCAAGAAACCAAGATCCATATACAGGCCCACCACCCAGACCAATTCCGACCAGCATACGAAGAATGAGCAGTGATATATAGTTTGGAGAAAAGGAACTCAGAAATGCAGATATGGTAGTCACTATTGCCACAGTCAGAAGACCCTTCCTGGTGATGGAAAATGAAAGGATAATCATTTTCAGTGCACAGATATGATAAACTTAAACCAAAGAACTATTAAGCAAATGCGTCTATCATTTATCGAACAACTAATAGCATTTAACAACCAGGGCTTAGTTGAAGCAGTAAAGGTTGAGGGGCTTGTGACTTAGGTCACAGGTTCGAGCCCTTCGTCATATGAACTAAGCCTGATATTTATGTGGAGAAGGGTAGAGGAGTGGTCCATCATCCCCGAGTTTCAAAGGCAGTGCGGTTGGTCCCCTATGGATTTCTCAGTCATAAAAAAAAGTATTCCATTTGATAACCAAATTCATCAGCAATAAGAATAGAAGTAACTAAAAGCGTGAGAGAATATTTAAGGCATTTAAGAAACTGATCAGGTTCAAGTTGACTGACTACAGGCTACAACTATAATCACTCACAATATGATTATTCACTAGTCACATAGCTCTTTATAATACTCCCTCCATTCCAATTTGTTTAGCACTATTTCGTTATCAGTCCGTTCCAAAACAATAAATTTTAAACTTCCTATTGTACCTGTAATGAGGAGGGACGAAGCCAGAAATTTCGCGGATGGTGTTCAAAATTTAATATACACATATAAAAAATAATTTTTGACCTACATACACGATATAAGTTTCTATATACATAGTATACTTTTTTGATGAAGGGTGTTCGGTTGGCCATCCTTCAATGCATGTGGCTACACCACAGACCACACAAATGATATGACATGCTTAAAATCACAAGTTTCAAAAATCTTATAACCATACAAATGTTATGATATGTTCAAAACAACAATAAACCAGTGAAATCCCGCGATTGGGGTCTGGGGAGCATAAGATGTACGCAACCTTACTCCTGTTCTGGAAGGGCGGAGAGGATGTTTCCGATAGACCCTCGGCTAAAAAAAGAATAATATGACATGTTTAAAACTACAAGTTTTAAAAGCCTTCATTTTTTAAAACTTTGTGTCGAGTCAAACTAGGCCAAACAAATTGGAACAGAGGGAGCAACTCAAATCGAAAAAGAGAAAGAAAAGCACAAACTTTTCACTATGTTTAATTGAAACAGCCATCTAAAGCACAAGATTATATAGTAAAAGAAGAAGCAAAATAGGCTTGCCTTCTGCCATAGTTGTCAGCAACAAGGCCCCAAAAGTAAGCACCGATAAGCATTCCAGAAAATACAACAGTAGTAATAAGACTTTCTTGGGTAGAAGAAAGTTCCCACTGAGATTTAAGAGCTGGCCCAATAAAAGAAAGAATCATAACTTCAACAGCATCAACCATAGATCCAAGACCAGCATAAACCAACACCAAATATTGGAATTTGCCAAAACCCAATGATGTAAGTGCTTCATCCAGTGTGTATACAAGTTCATCTTCCTCCTCTTGTTGCTGTTGCTGTGCCATCGCCAAATTTGAGCCGATGAGTCAAAGGGATAAAGCAAATTGAAGGTGAAATGTTTGTTCTTTTATAAATCCATTTTATTTGGCAAAATACATAGATCCTAACTACTTAAGGAGGAAATGACAGCCAAATCAACGGTTCCTAGATTCCCGGTACTCCTCTTCGGTCAAACCCGTTGCCAAAAACTTACTCACATCACTTGTTTATACCTAAATGTATTAATTTACTATAATTAAGTAATTTTATTAGGTGAAAATATATAATTTTTTAATCATAATTAAGTGGGAGGAATTATTTGAGAATATTTGCCATGCACTTATTAGGAGGTGTGAGAGGTTGGTCACGGCGAGTTTGAGAAAGGTCGCAGGACATGGCTCTACTTCAGCTTACTAAGGACACGACCCTTGATGTTGGGGTGAAGGTCTAAGATTAGGGTAGAAGGTTAGTAGGTAGTTTCGTAGTTGCTCACCGATAGTCTTAGAGCCCGTTTGGATTGGTTTATTTTAAGTGTTTTTAAGCCAAAATAGCTTATAAGTCATTTGTAGTATTTGGATAAAGTAAAAAATGCTTTTAAGCACTTGTTTTAAAGCTAAAATGACAAAAATAAGCCAAACGCCAAAAGTAAAACTCTAGTTATTTTCTACTCTACTAGCTCTACAGGAAGTTCTCACTTTACAGGGAGGCACAAAAGTAGAAGTTAAACGTGAATTGAGAGCAAAATAGTAAGGCATTTTGCAAGCAGTTCGTGTGTGATTCAAGTGGGCAAACCTGAAGCTACATGAACCAGATAGAAGAACCAGTTCCAAGTGTCTGTCTTTTATTCTAGTTCAATTGTAGTAGGTGTTTTCATATCGTACCTTTCAGCTTTATCTAGAAGCAATTGTAATAGGTACTTTGAGTATTCAAGTTAGAGAATAACTTGAAGTTGTCGCAACAGTTAGAGGTTGGTTGTCACAACAGGATTAGAGGTAATCCTTAGGTTTACAGAGAGTTTTTTGTAAATGTTGTTTTGGCTCATTGATTTAGTAAAGTGTTGGGGAAAATCCTACTGAGTAGTAGGTCGTAGTTTTTTCACCTTTTGAGCTGGGTGTTTTCCACGTAAAAATACTTGTGTTCTTTACTTTCCGCATTTATTATTTCTGAAATAGTAGGTTAAGTAACACATAGAAGAACCAGGTCCTTCTATAATCTGTGAACGCGAAAATTGGACACCACACAAATTACCCTCCTCTTGTGTGGCATTGAAGTATAAAATATTATTTAATATATTAATGGTAATAAAAGAAAATATTAGAATAATATTAACGCTAATTTCAAAAAATTATCACGTTAAAATTTAGAATTTGAATTCCTGAATGTTGTATAAAATAATGTTATTAATAGGAACTATGTCAAATAAATGAAATGAGAGCCTTACATAAATTGAAATGAATTGACATCAAGTTAAGCGTTTCCTTTTTTTTTCGTATAGCTATAAATATTTAAACTAAATTAACATTTTAAAGTCAGTGTATAATTACAATCATGTAAAATGAACCGATTCCTGATTCATACTCGAGACAAATAAATGGTGACAAAAAGAAAGGATTGGGTGGAACGTGAGAGAGAGAGAGAGAGAGGAGATAAGAAACAAATGACATGTGTTGAAAACCACAAAAAGAATGAGGAAAAATGGAAAAGTATAATAATCTAAGTGAGGTCAAATCCGGAGTGCTGAATATTAATGGAATCTATGACACAAATAATGACAACGATTGATGCTATGAAATGTTTTATGGTTTTGCAAAAAATATGTGCAAATAAAAGAAAATTAAAACTTTATACTAGTATATATTTGGGGCAAGTTGTAAAATAATAAATGACAAAATACGAAAAAGAGATTGTTGCATATGTTGAAGGTTGTAAAAGAACAAAAGACATGTTTAAATCAAGAAATGATTTAAAAGGGAGGAGGGGGAGGAGGAGGAGGAGGGGGAGGAGGCCATGGTGGGGATGGAGCCAAAGGGGGAAATTATCGGATGATGTCAGAAGTCGTTTTGATATAAAATTTTATTTTGTTATTATTCTTAATTTTGAAGTAACTTTTTCCTTCCCTTGGTACTCTTCCCCGTCACTTAGAAAAAGAGAGCACTGATTCAAGTACAAGATACTATCAAACGGAAAAGGGATGCTTGGGATCCATGATAGCCCTATTATTTTTTGAAGATTGTATCTCTCTATAAATGAAAAAGGGGTGCTTCGCATCTAAAAATAACATATGCTTCGCATCTAAAAATAGCACATCTAATGCACCAGCAACTCGACCAATCTGACACAAGTGATTGAGAATGATACCAAACTTATTTATATTTCTTTTCCTCTCCAATGTGGAGAGAAAACTTCAATACAAGTAACATGAAATAAGTCCAAACTTTAGACAACAAGATTATCAATTAGCTCTGTTCGATCAAAAAGTGTTAGACTTTTTTATTGAACTAATTAAATAAGAAGATTTTTTAGGCAAATCCTAGCCAAAGATAATCTATCCTAGATCCGAGATAGGAGAAAAGAATGAGCCGGCATAACTGAACATAAAACTTAACTATAACAATGATTGAATCCCGTCGCATAAGAAAAGGATGATGATTTTAGTGATATTAAATGCTAACGAAGAATACATAGATAAAAAAGGGTCACCGTTCTTGAATAAGGTTGACCCTCATACATGTGATATAATGCAACTAATGATAGATACTGAGGAACTAAGCTTCCTTTCTCCTTTCTCCTTGACCAGGAGCCAGAGATGAATTATCTCTGCTTTTGTCTAAATATATGTCTACCTGTCTCTATGAGTTTTTGCCCCCCCCCCCCCCCCATAGTTACTCTCTCCTACGATATTTATACAAAAATACTTTGTTTACCCAACGGTCCTTAATCGGAGTACTTAAATTCTTGGAATCTCCTGCAGAATATTCCTCTAGAAATGTCTAAGGGTTGGACTAGCCGTTCAGGCTGAATGGAGTGCTCGACCTCGACCGCAGCCAAATCACTCGTTAGTGTATTGCTTCTCGTACGTGACCTCGGCTTGGTTAGCTCTTGGGCGTCCTCCCTTAAGTAAGGTTCTTCTGTTGAGATTTCGACCTATATAGTTAGTCCCTCCGCCCATCGAGGTTGCCTTTGGGAGAGCTCGGTGGGTGGACTACGCCAGTTACATTTTTTGAGAAATCTGAGAACATTGGTCGAAGAGTGATTCTCCTTTGTTGGCGAGGTGACGCTTCAAAAGCCGCACCTGACCGTACGTCAGTTTGAAATGACACTTTCTTCACGCGTCATTATGGCGCACATTCCCCATAAGTTACATCGTTTCCCTCGCTTCTTCCGTTTCAAAGTTAACGAGGCAGCGTTTGGGCTATCTTGATTGGGGTGTCTGTGCTCTTATAAATAGGGATAGGCACTCCAATTTTGAATTGTTGTGTTCTTAGAGCCCTTGAAGCCCAAGTTCTTTTCTTCTACGAACTTTTAGCTTCTGTGTTTTCTTCCTCTCCTTAGTGTCCTTTGCTACTATTACCTCTTTCATCTTTGTACTTCTTCTTTGCACAATCAGAAAAATGGCCAACGCTCCCTCTGATCTTGTGATGTTGGTTGCGGATGCACCTCACCATGAGGAAGGGGTGGCCATGGTGGAAGATGAAAACTTTCCCACCGTGGACGAGATAATCCCACGCTCCGGGAAAGCTAGATCTGACTTCAAAAGCCTGCCTGAGAATGAACCTGAACCTGTTATCTCCACGATGGATGCGGCGGCGATCACTGCGTTTAGAACTAAGTGGCGAATCCCGGCCCATGTTGAAATAGTTCCCACTAGTAGTGATGTAGTCCAAACACACCACCCGGGGTACTGCGCATCCTACGTGTACCCGTTTATCGTTGGCTACACGCTTCCTCTTCCCTCCTTGGCAGAGGATTTTTGCCGCTTCTACAATGTGTGCCCGGCTCAGCTCTCTCCGTACATATACAAACTCTTCCTCATGCTTATCAAATATGTGGAGTTGTCCAGCCATGGTATTTCTCTACGCCATGTGTTTCACCTCTTCGCCCCAAGCTTTCACATGGGCACGATGATTCATATGCGCCATCGGGGGACCAAAGGGTTGGTAGTGAAGATGGACGATAAAACTAATCATCGTTTTTGGGAAAATTTCTTCTACGTGAAGACGGTGCATGTGGTATCGAACCCCAGCGGATTCCCCGAGGAGTAGAATTTTGCTCGTAAGTGTTTCCCTTTTAAAGTGACCGTTGTTTCCTTTGGGGGTAATTTGATCGTTCTTTTTCTTTCTTTGCAGTCTAATGGGATCCTCCTTCGCCAGTTGTTGACATTCGCGACTGGGTGAGTTGGGTTTTGCCCCATACTATGGGGATTCGTGAGTGGTCGCATTTCAATGAGAGGTTCGGGCGTAGACCTGTGGCCGGTGAGTCATCTTCGGCTTCGATTGCTGACTTTTACACCGTTATTTCTATCCTCTTATCTCTCTTCTTTGTTTACAGGTCGGAGGGTGGCAAGGAGGGTGAGGGCTCCTACGCCCGCTTTCCGCCAGTTGGGTACCTCGGCTGAGCCCGTTCTTGTTGTGGCTGCAAGTGAACCCGCTCAAACCGCTGCTGTCTTGCAGACTTCGACTTCGTGCGGGCTTGGCCGCCCGGCTGCCTCCCCCTTGGGGGGTTCCGGCTCCCGCAGTTCATTTGATGGACGAGTCGTTGGAGGGCGAAGACGATGAGGCCCTTTTGAAGAGATGGAGGATAGTGGCTGAGACTGAGGGACCTTTGAAGGGTGAACTCGCGTTGGCGGTGTCCGAACCGAAAGGGGGTACTGGTTTGGGCATTGAGACCGTGCCTCCTGCGATCGTGGAGTTGGCTTCTTTGGAAAGGGGACAGAGCTCGGAGGCCGCTGCAATCGTTCCGAGTGGCCCGTCGACTTCACAACAAGCCCGTTCCTCCTCTTCAGCCAGCGAGAGGGCAAAGGGCGTGGTTATAGATGAATACAAGTTCGGTTCAGATATTGACCCCGAGGACATAAGAATGTTTAAAGAGGGGTTCACTCGGGTGGAAGCGGGAACGGACAGTTCCTCCCGCGTGATCGAGATTTCCCCAAACTTAGACTTGTTGGAGGACACAGTAAGTCCGGTGCCACAATTTGTCGTTC